TGCGCTCTGGGTCTGTTTAGGATCCGCTGGCCCCAGGTCGTTTCACTCACTCGCTGGGCCTGCGCTCTGGGCTGAAGTTAATTTTTAATACTGAGTTTATCTCTGCATCCAGCACACTTTAGTCTGCAATTGGCTGTTTCCCAAAATAACAAATTGCATAATTATTTCCACATGTTCACTTTATAGTCAGGATGGATTCAGGCTGGAAGTTGGCCTCATAGAGGAAGGCCATTTGCCACACGTGGTTACTCACCAGTCTCATGTCTCAGCACTAAGCTGGCTACAGGAACACGAAGTTCCTTTCAGTCTGTGGTGTATTAGGAAGGAGTTACACATGAATGAAATTGATAAGTTTTGATGGTAACTTAAACAAGTTATAGTCACCACCAATCCTCTCCAGGAAAATATTTTGACTTAGTCAATTTTAATCTTGGCCCAGATACACTTTAAATGCGTGAAACACTTTCGTCCACAACCAGGGCCTCCCAGCCCATTCTAAGAAATGCAGACTAGTGCAAATTTAACCTGTCACATGAATTGGGAACCAGGCACTATGTCACATATTTTGTTTTTTGACACAGGATCTCACTACGTTCAGACACCTTGGCGCTGGGATTACAGGCATGTGCCACCACTCCGAGTTTTGCAGCCGGCATGACGCACCCAGGATTTCGCGGTGGACAGGGCATATGGTACCAGGGATTTAACTCCGGACCTTGAGCTTGTCAGGTAGGGCTCCAGCCCACACACTTTGAAAAGTATAAATTATTTAAAAATACCTCTTTTGTATGATTACTGGTACTTCTGCTTATCAGTATGTTTTTAAAAGACTACTGATAGGTTATGGCCCTTGTAAGAACTGCTGAATTATGGTGGTCTTCTGATATGGCTGAAGCCCTTAATGCAACAGCTTGCCTTCCCAATGACCACATCCTCGTCTTTTCCCACTCTAGCCTCGGGTACAACTTCCTGTGGCCTTTCCCGCCCACACAAAGGAGCCTCCAATCAGCTCCTTATACGTCACTAAGCCCACACCTCAAACTCTGCCCCTGGCAGACGTCCATAAAGCCTCAGGCTCCCTGTCTCAGGTCCGAGGATCCGCCCATCTCCTGCCCTGGGTCCTCTCCGAGCGTTCAGAGTCAATAATGGCTTTCACTCCCGCATTGCTGCTTCCGTGCAGCGCCGCCACCACTGCCGCCATCGCTGTTGCCTCTGAAACCTATCAACTACCTTATTTTCTTGCACTCTGAAACCAAAGTTTCACTCATTTCCTTCAGTCTTACAGCTTCTTTCCTTTCAAGAATCCAGGAGTCTTTAGAAACATCAAGGTTAGGAGAAAGCCTGGAGCCAAGCGACGGTAAAATGTGTGCCATTTAGCAGCAGGAATTAAACCTGCATACACTTTTTAAGAGGTGGCAAAACTCACTGGAAAGAAAATAAGTACAAAGAAAGTTTCAGGCTCCTTTTTAAGAACTCTTACCTCGTACGCAAATATTAACATCCTGAACACAACTTTTGAGCTAAGAGCCAAAGCTCCTTACGGCACCTAAGTAGCTACTACCACTGATTAACAATCACTTCACCGAAATCCAGGCTAGCGTGTCTCAGGACTGGCGCTGCGGACCCCGGCGCTCCCCGCAGACCCGACTCCACGCGCGTCCAGTCGGAGCCGGCGTCGACCTCGGCGCCCCCTTCCTACTCGGGGCGCCCCCTCCCTACCCGGGACCGCGAGTGCAGAGACAACCGAACAAAACTCGGGGGAAAAGGAGCTCGGCTTAGCCGAGGCGTACAAGGAAGCGCCACCGGGAGCAACTAGAACACGGCTGACCCGATGGGCTCAGCTCCCCGGTCTAGCTGGCCGGCCTGGACGCCGCGGCGCGGACCCCAGGCCGGGACTCTCGCGGGGGCGCGGCGCGAGCGTGGCCTGGGGAGGCGGGACGCTGCGTCGAGTCCGAGCAGCTAGCAGGGGCTCCCCGCACGCGGCAGCCCACGCACTGGCCGCGCCCGCGACGCCAGCGGAGCAGAACCCTGAAAGCCGCGGGGCTCCAGCGAGGCGCAGGCCGGGCCCGCCTCCGCCTCGAGCCTGGGGTGGGACCCTGGTGGCGTCCTGCCCAGTCGAGTCGCGGCTGTAAGTATGGGGCGGGACCCTCGCACTTTCTGTCCAATCGAGTCCCACAGCTGTAAGTACGGGGCGGGACCCTCGCGCTTCCTGTCCAATCGAGTCCCACAGCCGTAAGTATGGGGCGGGACCCTCGCTTCCTGCCCAATCGAGTCCCACAGCTGTAAGTACGGGGCGGGACCTTCGCGCTTCCTGCCCAGTCGAGTCGCGGCTGTAAGTACGGGGCGGGGTCCTCACCACTCCCTGCCCAATCGAGTCCCGCGGCTGTCAGTACGGGGCGGGACCCTCGCGACTTCCCGTCCAGTTCGCGCTCGGCTACGGGTCAGTTTGGAGCCCGGCGCGCGGTGGCCAGCGGCAAGGTGACGACCGGCACGCCGCGCGTAGGCTGCGATCCCTCCCCTGACCCGAGGCCAAGCCGTGTGGAGGCGCCTCGGGCCCGCATCCGAGTGACCTGCCGCGCCGCCCCCGGGCCCCGTGCAGGGCCGCCGACGCGGGGAGGCTTGGAGTCCGGCCCGGCGGCGGGAGGTCGGCGGGGCGGGAGGCCGGGCTCCGCGAAGCCGGGTCGGGGCCGCCCGCCGCGCGCACTCGCTTCTCCGGGCGTTCGCTCCGAAGTTTGCCACGCCCTTTCCCGCCCGTGCGCCTCTGCGGGCCCCGCGCGGGCGAGCGCCGCCCTCTGGGCGTCCGGGCCCGCCGGTTCGTTCCTGTCCTTTGCTCTGGGTCTCGTTCACCTTCCGCGAGGTGACACCCTGCCCCCCGGGAAGGCGTCCGGTAAAACGAGGCCGTCGGTTTCCGAATGCTAGTGGTTGACAATCCAAGACATTTCTTAGGAACAAATCTGAAATGTCCTGTCGTTAGTGTCACCCATGAGTTCGGCACTGAAGGGGGTATGAGGTCGGTGCGCTTGCTCCCCCTTGTTTCTGGCCCCCGGCGGCGGCGGCGGGGCGCAGGCTGCCGAGTGGCCGCTTCTGTGTGTGCTGCTTGTCACTACCCTGTAACAAATTAGCGCAGCCAGCACTGAAGACAGCTCAGGTCGTTATCTCCCGGCTTTTGTCGATGGGAAGCCGGACCGAGTTTCTTGGCACTCTGCACCGGGTCTCCCAAAGTTGAGCAGGGTTTCTGTAGGTCGGGGCGCTCGGCGGCTCGGAGCGCGAGAATCCTCTCAGCTCGGTCTTCCCTCATCTGGGCGGACTGCTGCTTCCTATCAGCCCGTCAGCCCTGGCTTTCAGCGAAGGCCACCCGCCACCGTCAAAATCAGCAAGCCTCTCTTCTCCCACGGGCTCAAGTGATTAGACGGGGTCCAGAAGCCGACATCCCTTCTGCAAGTCAGCTGTGGATGAAAAATCACAGGAGTAGGGGTCCTGCCATACCACCGGGGTGGGGGGTATTCTCAGAAATTCTGCCTGCCACAATCTGGTTGGTCCAAGCAGGATCTTTTTAAAATTTAACTTTATTAGCACATGTTTGCAGTACATCCAACTTACAGTCGTCTTGGGGAGTCTAAATGTACATACTACAGCTTTTTAAAATTCCCTTCCCTCCCTCTTTTCCTCTACCTAGCCCGAGTTTCGTTCTTGTTGATGTTAATACTGGTTAATGTCATGGCGTAGAATGTTTATATTCATTGAGGTTATTAGGCTTGTACATTGAGGTTATTAGGCTTTACTCTGCTTACTTCCCCCTTCCCTCCACACACCTTAGCCTTCTCCCTTGGACCATGTCTGTTGTGAAAGCCATTCTCGTGTCCCTTTCTATCCCTCCATTATTATTCCTTGTTCATGCTTTATCTCAAAGGAGAGATACTATGGTATTTAAATTAAGCTGGATTATTTTGTAGTGTGCTTGTTCATAAATTTAAAAAGTGATGATGCCAATTACATGACTGGTAAGAGAAGGAAATTGAGTTTGTTGCCTGTGACCACACGAGAGAAAGTGGCTGAGTGCATTTGGACCCAGATCTCCATTTCCACTGGGTCCATAGCTATAGGGAGTTTTGTTTGTTTTTCGTACCGGGGATCAGAGATGGAAGTCAGGACCTGTTCCTGCAGCTGAGCTGTCTCCCGCCCACAAGGCCTGGTCATGGATGTTCACATCCCGTGTCATCAGATGGGAACAGCTAAGCCGCGTTCAGGTGGCTGTTGCACCTCATTTCTGAATTGTCTGTGTGGTACTGGTATAGGCTCAGTTTTCATGACAAAGCTCAATTTGCATGAATAAAATAAAACTGGAGGGATTTGGGGTTTATGGAGGATTTTTTTTTTTTTTTTTAATGGTACTGGGGATTGAAGCCAGGCAAGCGCTTATTCTACTGAGCTATCTCCCCGGCCCTCTGGAGGGTTTTTGGTGGTGGTGGTGGCAGTTGGTTTTTCTGTTACTTATGCTGACCTTGAGTTCCTGGAATCCAGCAGTGCTTCTGCCTCAGCCTCCCGACTAGCTGGGATGACAGGTGTGCACCAGTGCACCCAGTGTGTTGGCTTCTGGTTTGCAATATTATCTGGAGACCAGAATAGTAGGACAGCTGTAAACTTACCCAGTGTGGGCCCATTCCAGTTGACACTCCTGGGCCACAGGGAGGAGGAGGGGGAGAGGGGGGAGGAAGAGGAGGAGGAAGAAGAGGAGGAGGAGGAGGAGGAGGAACAGCATGTGCTGCCCTGAGGAGGCATCCCTACAGCACAAGGCCAGCTGGGCTCTAGAGGGCTGGGAACAGCAGGCTGGCAGTAGGGTGCTGTGCACACTCTGGGCTCTGTTAAGGAGGAAGTGGGCATTGTTAGCTAAAACAGTCTCTACCATGCCCTCTTCTTCCTTGTTTTCTCAGTTATTTAATGTGTAATTTAATTTGTAAATGCTTTTTGAGAAGTAGCACTTTTGGGTCAGATTGATTTCTTTGGTGAAAATACATGAGTGGAAAGTGTTCACATTTGTCTCGGCTTACTTGCAGTCATTCTGAGTAGATCTCTCCGCTGCACAGTCCTGTGTTCTCTGGTCTGCCCCTTTCCAGTACTGCAGCTCTTCCGCACTTCCTCCTGTGGGCTTCTGAGTCCTCTTCAGACTATCATCCCTGTCATACATCCCTTCCTACTCATCGCATCTTTGGCAGGCTCCCCCACCACCACCACATTGCCTTTTTGTGTAGCGAGGATTATAATTCTGACTGATGGTTTTGAGTTCTGGCTAGTCCTCTTAAGCAAATCACAAGACCTCTGGGTTTTGTTTTCTTCATATGTGAAATGGCAAAGTACGTCACTTCGCAGATGATGTGAAGTTTTTGGAGGTGATGCCTGTTTTGGAGGTAATGCACTGCTTGCACATGGTGGGTGCTCAGAGAGTGACCATACTGGCTTTACTGGTAACTCGGACTTCTGGTATTTGGAGTCTACATTAAAAAAATTTTTTTTGGCTTGCTTTATCTGACTAGTTTATAAATTGCTTAACACTTGGGACCAAGTCCTGGTTAGTGGGTGATCCCTAAGTGCTGACTTAGTGAATTGTACGTAGCATATGCAAGAACATATGTGAGTTTGAAGTTGCTGGGTGTCTCTCTGTTTTCTTTAGTTTTCCTATTGTAATAGTACCATGGAAAATCAACTGGCTAAATCAACTGAGGAACGAACATTTCAGTACCAGGATTCTCTTCCATCACTGCCTGTTCCTTCACTTGAAGAATCATTAAAAAAATACCTTGAATCAGGTATGTTCATAATTTTTAATACCCATTAATGCCAGCAGTACTTAGGAAACTTTGATGCTGTTGAAAGTTGATGAAGGTCTAATTGCTATTGTTTCTAGGCTCATGATAAAGTCTCCTTCTTCTTCCCTCCTGTTACTTTTTCCATAGTTGGAAAAGCCAGAGACTGAATGGGTCTCCTGGCAGAGTGAGGCCCCTGTCCTGGCTCTCTGCTTCCACCAGCCTTACTTCTCAGGCAAGGACCTTCAGGTTGTTTCTTACATTGTCTGTCTCCACTTTTAGAGTAAGAGTCATATCCTGCATTCTTTAGGCCTTTTAGCTGTAGGTACCCTGAATTAATTCCTTGAAAAAGATACAGGCTTAGCTTTCTTAAGAGTGCTAGCTCTCCTGTCCCTGGCATGTGTACAGCCTGACACGTTTCCTTCCCATTCTCTCAATAGAGTTGTACAAATCAGCATTTGGAATTAAATCACTAGTTCCTTCAGTTATCTGTGTTTCACCTGATCTTAATCAGCATTTACCCAGCCACTCAGGATTTAGGGTGCTACATGAGTCACAAGTGAACACGTGCTTTACCCCATCACCCTTTGCTGTGTTCCCCCTTCTTCATTTGCCTAGTTTCTTAGTATTCGGGGGTTTAGTCCAAAACATCTCATCGCAGTGAAAATTCCTGAATATATTTACATACATAAACTCTTCCCTATTTCACACCTTCTTGCAGAGTCTTTTCTGGACTTGTCACTTTTATTGGGAGATTTCCTTTGCCACCACCCTACAGTTCTTGTCCCCTCTTGCCTGTGCTGGACCAGGATTTAGTGCTGTCTTCTTTCTTGGTATTCTTCTTTCATTTTGCTTCATCTTTAGTATGCTGAGAAAGGGAACTTGGGAGAAAAAGTGAGAACTAAAAATGTGTTTACCTGATTGTCTAGCTAACTTTAGTATTGTGCCCTGGAAACGTGTTTTGTTAAGAGTTCTGACATGTCCTTCATTCCTTGCGAGGTGTGGGGTGCCGCTGCGATCTGGAGAAGTGCTTCTGTGGGTTTTCCAGCTCCCCCACCACCTGGAGTCTGGCCTTTGACAGACTGTCCTTCTCTAGCGCACACTGTGCCTCTGCCCTTCTGACCTGTTTGCTTGTGGCTATCCCCAGCTCTTTTGTCTGTGGTGCCTCTCACACAAGAGGAACTCTTCAATACCTGCAGGCACCTTCCAGAGTGCAACCGTAAGGACCTGACTGGGGACTCTGCCAGGCTGGACGGACTGGCAGGCATCTCGGGCAGCCCCACCAGGGCACGCCCATAGCCTGCTGCTCTTTTTCTCTGGAGCTGATCTCTTTCCTCTAAGAGGAATCCTTGAATTTCTGGCCTGAAGGACCTGAGCAGGGGAACTGAAAGGAGGAGGCTAAAGGAGCCTTATTGTACAGGGTGTACACTTTTTAAAGTTTGTTTACCTTTAAATTGATATGTAAAAACATAAGAATTGTGTATGTTCACAGGGCCAGTGTTATGTTTTGATACACTTGTACATTGTAATCTTTTTTGGTACAGGGTCTTACTACGTAGATTAGATTTATAGTGATCCTCCTATCTTCAGCCTCCCCAGCACTGGGATTACGGGTGTGAGCCACCACCCTGGGTCTCATTAGCTGGCCCAGTGCACCCAGTCCCTGCGCTTGTCTAAGCAGGCACTTAGTCCGCTGAGCTATCTTGCCTGCCCTATACGTTGTAATCTTTAAACTAGGTTACCAAACATGTATCGCTTCATTGTGGTGAAAATGCTCAGGAATTTTCACTGTGATGAGATGTTTTGGACTAAACCCCCGAATACTAAGAAACTAGGCAAATGAAGAAGGGGGAACACAGCAAAGGGTGATGGGGTAAAGCACGTGTTCACTTGTGACTCATGTAGCACCCTAAATCCTGAGTGGCTGGGTAAATGCTGATTAAGATCAGGTGAAACACAGATAACTGAAGGAACTGGTGATTTAATTCCAAATGCTGATTTGTACAACTCTATTGAGAGAATGGGAAGGAAACGTGTCAGGCTGTACACATGCCAGGGACAGGAGAGCTAGCACTCTTAAGAAAGCTAAGCCTGTATCTTTTTCAAGGAATTAATTCAGGGTACCTACAGCTAAAAGGCCTAAAGAATGCAGGATATGACTCTTACTCTAAAAGTGGAGACAGACAGTGTAAGAAACAAGGGAGAGATAGGTGGTATGTAATTGTTAACCACAGTCACCCACCATGCAGTAGCACACCAGAGCTGCTTCTGCTCCAACTGAGTGTGTGCCCTGCTCAGCCTTCCGCCCTCCTGCGGTCTTCTCTCCAGCTCTGGACACCGCAGCGCAGTCGACCTCCATGAGAGCAACTCTTTCAGGTTCTGCCTGGGAGTGTGACCAGCCGGTACTCGCCTTCCTGTGCCTGGTTTATTTCACCTAACAGTGACACCAGCCCATCCATGTTGCCGATGACGCAGTCTCGCCAGCCTTTCCTGGCTGGATAGTTCTCCACTGGAACGTGTGTGTTCCACATTGCCTTCCTCAGTCTGTTCAGAATGTTTCCCTTCCTGGGTTCTTGAGTGGAGCTGTGCAGTACAGGGTGTCACTGTCCTGTCCCCTCATGGTGTGGCTGGAGTCAGGTGCTTTCTCCGGTCTGGAGGCGGAGGTCTACAGGGCCGCCGTGGGTGCAGTGGCATCTGCCAGGCGGGGTGTCCCAGCAGCCCTCCGGTTCCGGCTTTCTTCCGCCGCCGCAGGAATTGGCTTTCCCTGCTTCCCACTACCTCTGTCAGGCCTCTTGGCTTCATCTCTATTGTGCAAAGCCAGTCACCGTTTCCCCAGTGGTTTCTAATTTTAAACTACTAGCTTAACTGCTGTTCTCTTTTCTTTCACTTTTCACTTTTCCTTGTCCTTCTGGATTTTTCCCTTTTTACTACTTTCCTGTCAGAGTGTCAAATTTGTAGGAGTAGAGATAAATGTGTTTGATTCATTTTTAACTTGAAGTGCTCTGATTTTTAAAAATTTTTCCTTTTTCTCACCTACTTTCAAGATTTCTAATTGCTTAATTTGAAATTTTTTCTGATTACTCCCAGGTGTTGAATATTCACTTTACTTGTACTTTCTTTGATCCAACAATTTATATTGACCTCTATAATTTAAATTGTTTTCCAGATAAGATTTTGAAGAGGCAAAAACCAAAAAGGATAGATTAATGTCTCATGGTTGCTAACTACTTTGTAGCTTGATTTTTATGGATTATGAACCTGGATTTTTGTTTTGTTTTTGTTTTTGGTGGGTTGAAAACTATTTTGGGCCATGAAGGTAGGATTTAAACTTACATTTACACACAAATTGCATTACATATGTAATGGTTACACTGATTTGAAAATGGACAGAAAGATTTCTCTCTGTTTCTTTGTTTCTTTCTTTCTTTCTTTTTGTGGGACCAGGGATTGAACTTGGGACCTTGCACTTGCCAAGCAAGTGCTTATGCCACTGAGTTGTATCTCCAGCCCTAGAAAGATACTTTTATCTCTCTAAACTGATGTTAAGAAACTGGGCTTCCAATTCAGTCTTTATTACTTAGTACATCTTGAGAGAAGGTGCTGAGGACACAGTATCCTTATTCCAGGGAGAAAAATAGGGTTCATTAATATAATACGTATCTTACGTAAAGTGGTTAAATTTGTAGCTAAATAGAATTTATTTGCCTGGTAGCTAGATGATATCTCACCCTGTAGACTTAACTATCACCTAAAATGATTTCAAAATTTTATAAAATTATTAAATTACATAATACTTTAAAAAATTTTAAACAACATTTTGCATTGTTTTTCATTTTGTATTGTAAACTCTTTAGTTGCCAATTTGTATAGTAAATTAAGGTGATTGTTGATACTTGCTATCTAATACCTTAATCACATTTTTTCTTTATAGTAGAGCCATTTGCAAGTGAAGAAGAATATAAGAAAACTGAAGAAATAGTTAAAAAATTTAAAAATGGAATTGGAGGAAAATTGCACCAGAAATTACTTGAAAGGGCAAAAGGAAAAAGAAATTGGGTATTTATTTTAGTATACTTACAATTGAAAAAAATTGATGTTTCAAGGAGAAAAATTACAAATATACATAGTTATTTCTAAATTATTGCTGTGAAGTCCCTGCAGTGATCATTGGCCTTGTGGTCACCTCAAAGAACGCATCACATCACTGGGGAATCTTGGGTGAAGAGATGTGAGGTGAAGTGCACGTTTCCTGGGGTCATGTGTGGTCAGCGTGCCCCACGTGGGGCCAGACAGCTTTATTTTAGCACCTGCCCCTTGGGGTTCTGACGCAGTGACCCAAGTCCATGTTTGTGGGCAAATATTTCATCCAGGTGACAGTAGCCTGAAAAACCCAAAACATTAAAACACATAGCTAGCATAGAAGTATTTAAACACTGTGTGGGAGAAGGGGTCCTAAACATTAGAGTGGAGACAGTTACGAATGCAGGGTGCTTCAGCTGGGGAGAAGCTGCTGCGGTAATTACTGAGGGTCTCGTTCAACCACTTCTTTACTAGAATACCTGGACTCGAGATGAGCTTTCATAGTTATAGATCATTGCATGGTCTAGAATTAGTGACAGTAAATGTCTTATCATTTTTTAAAAATGTATTTGGTACAGGCTTTACAGGGTCTCACTACACAGATCATACTCCTAGTGATTCTCCTGTTTATAGCTTCCCAAGCGCTGGGATTACAGGTGTGTGCTACCATGCCCAGTCTCAATCACCAGTTCAGCAAGCCCCGGGGGCGGGCTGGTCGTCTTACCATTTTGACCATAAAAGTTTTTGTGGCCTTTTTAATGAGCACTTTATATCTATGATAGAATAATAAAATTTTCCACTTTCATATTTCTTTACACTCAATTTTGAGTATTGTGTGATTTAAAACAGGATAAAAGTAAAATTATTTTGGCTATATTGTTTTTGTTTATACCTTTTTCTGAAATACTACTTGTAATTTGTGAAATAATTTCTGTAAAAAGAAAGGTAATTTGTGCTGGCCAAATAGCTCAGTGGGAGCACTTGGAAGGCTGTAAACAGGAGAATCACTATGAGTCTGATCTAGTAGTGAGACCCTGAACACTCTGTAGACCTTCCCTGAAAATACAGAAAAAAAAGCTAATTTAATAAGATCTGCTTACTTATGCAGGCAATTTAGTTGGAAATTGTGAAAGAGGGAAACAGTAATGTCTTTGAAAAATCTAAGTTTTAATCCTCAAAAGTTTTTGTATTTATGATTTAGTATTTCAGTTACTGCTTAGAAAGAAAAATTATCTGTGTCTTACCTGTTATCATTAAGTGAGAGTTTAGTATTTGTTGTATGTACCACAGGTATACTGAGGAAACACCTAAATACTTCGTTGTATGATTGTGATTTCAATAATATTTAAGACCTTATAGTTACAGAAGGAAGGAGCATCTTTAAAGATCTGTGATGATTTAAAACAAGAAGATGTGTTTTCCAGTGTTGAAGAGTAATAAAAGTAATGCAACTGCTTGCTTTGCCAGCAGTCACGCCTTCAGGCTCTAAGGGGAGCATTCTCTTTCAGCTGGAAGACTGGTGGCTGAATGTGGCCTACCTGGACGTTCGAATGCCGTCACAGCTGAACGTCAACTTTGCTGGTCCTTCGGCCCATTTTGAACACTACTGGCCTCCAAAAGAAGGTGCACAGTTAGAAAGAGGAAGCATAATCCTTTGGCATAACTTGAACTACTGGCAGCTGCTGAGACAGTAAGCACAATTAATGTGAATTTAGTAATGGGTTACATGAAGGCTCAGTTGGCAGTGTTCAGAAGTTTACTACTTTGGGGAAGAAGACTGCAGTAGTAAGTGTCTAATTTGTAAGTTTCTTAATGACTTCTTGCTTAAAACTTTTATTAATAGAGAAAAAATGCCTGTTCACAAAGTTGGAAGTACTCCTCTTGATATGAATCAGTTCCGAATGCTGTTTTCCACCTGCAAAGTTCCAGGAGTTACTAGAGACTCAATTATGAATTATTTTAGGACAGGTAAGTAAAAAATAGTGTGCTTTTTAAAAGTGAAGTGACTGGGATTTAGGTATTCTCTAATGATTTCTGCTGTAGCACTGTGGAGCACAGTTTTAAGGAGTATTTCTTACTGGCTCTTCACACATCAGAAGCTTTCTCGGACCCTTGTGTGTGATCCATTCTGATAGTGTGGGAGAACAGGAGACTTGTGTTCTACAGGGTGACACACGTGGTTCAGCACAGACCCAGTGCTCACACTGGACATGTGGGGAGCTTGAGGCAGAGCCCTGAGAAGCTGTGGCACGTCTGCGCACACCTCCTTGCACCCCGCTTGTTTGCTGTCTGGTTGTCTCTGCCTCTCACTGTTGTATGCCCACTGTGCCTTTTTCATCATGAATGCTTGCTTCTTTCCTTACCTGGAGGGCTGGGGTCATGTTGCCTGGAGGGCACATGGGTTTAGATTGATCATCACATCGTGTTTTTACTGTCAGTTTGTGGTGCTTTCTGCTTGGTGTTCTGGTCTATCCTGAAATGGAAAATTTTGCTAAGGCAACTGCTAGTTTCTGGCTACTTCAAGAATTTCTGTGTTTTATGAATGTAATGATATCTTATAATTACTAGAGAGTATAATTATGGATGTTTTGTTATCAGATTTCTAAAAGTTTTATTGAAAGCCGTGGTCATCACCTAAGAGTTTATTTTCATACAGAATTCAACTCCTCAGTGTACATCTGTTCAGGTGCTGGAGATGCTGGGTGGCATCAAGCTCACGTTTACCTCAGTGTTGTAAGTGAAAGAACTAACGAGATTAGGCAAGTGGGCTTGTTTAATGCCCAGCTACGAGTGGGAAGGTGGTAGGAGAAAATGGATGGGATGGAGTAAGACCAGAAAAGAAAGAAAACATACAAATCAGTTAAGAACTGTTGTCTGTAGAACTGGGTTGGAATTGTGTCACTTGGTGTGTTCTTCCTTAGATAAGGTTAACTTATTTGAGTTGGTGTGGAAGATGGGGGTTCATTAATTTAGGGATATGTTTTTGATACAGTGCTTTATGCTGTGTGGTTATTACAGTTTTGACTGTAGGGCTCTATGGAGAGGTGTAGACAGAGATGAACCTAGGTGATGAGTATCTGTGACGAATCTCAGCAGTGCTGCTGAGTGCTTCCAGAGAATTTGAGAAGATGCAGGCCTGCATTTATGTTTTAAATGTAGCCGAGGATGCCTCTCTGAGCATCAGAAAACTTTCATTTTATGTCTAGTTCATTTTTGTTGTTGTTTCTGATGTGTGTTGAGGGCAGAATGCCCTTAGCAGGAAAGAATTTGCCACATTCACTGGGCTAAGTGGGGGGAAGGGTGGCTGGAGGCTGGGCCATAGACTGCTTTATGACCCAGGATAAGGTTTTCAGCTTTGATGTAGAGTGTGAATTGGAGCTGTTAATGGCTTTTGAGAAAAGGGGGTGATACTATTGGACTAAGATTCCTGAAAGGTCATTCTGCCTGCTATTTAGCAGATGGGGCTTTAAGGATGATACAGATGTAGAGACAGCGAGATCAGTTAGAAGTTTGTTTCAGCATTCCATGTAAGTCAGGTAAGAGCTCATGCTAAGTGGTGGCATAGAGGTACTGAAGATTAGTCAGTCTCTGGGTTCTGTTGGATTTGGAGTTACAGAATTAGTTTTAAGATTGGTGGGAGATATATGAGAAAAGTAGAAAGCAGGATGACTTTAACATACTCGGCTTGTAGTTGGGCATGGTGGTGGGCACCATGGTCCTTGCTACTCCAAAGGCTGAGACAGGAGGATTGCATTATCCCAGAAGTTTGAGGTCAGCCTGGGTGAGATTGTGAGATGCTGACTAAATTTTTTTTCCTTGAGCAACAAACTTATGGGGTAGATAACATAAGTGTTCAAACTGACTTATAAGTTTATGGATTATAGATTGAGGTGGTGGGGAAGACTGAGAGATGTTTTAGGGAGCCAAATCATGTTGAATTTAAAATGCCCGTTGAACCTTCAAGGGGGCAGTTGGAGATAAAGTTGGGGAATCTAAGACATCAGGATGGCACCTGCAGATACAGAGTTAGAATTAATCATTAGGAAGCATGGAATTTATTTGTAAAGCTCATCAAGTACCTAAGATCATTTGAGAATGTACAAATAAAGATGACTTGGGAGCCAGTTCTATTACAGAACATAATCCAATACAGTATTTGTCTCATCAGAGCAGGCATCAGCAAAAGCCAAGGGAGGGTGGGAGCAAACAAGAACAGCCAAAAGAAGCCAAGGGAGGGTGGGAGCAAACAAGAACAGCCAAAAGAAGCCAAGGGAGGGT